ATACAATCAGCTATTATGTTTATTTTCTGGGCACTAGAGAACAACACACAATCGGCTATTATGTTTATTTTCTGGGCACTAGAGAACAATATACAATCAGCTATTATGTTTCTTTTCTGGGCAGTAGAGAACAACATACAATCAGCTATTATGTTTCTTTTCTGGGCACTAGAGAACAACACGCTATAAGTAACATCATACGCCTTCTAGTTAACATCTAAATTACAATATCCTTGATGAATCTCCGGAAATGATCTCAACAGGAAACTTGGATTCCTCAGCAAGCCGACTTTCCATTCGTATATTCTTTTCTGGAGTCATCAAATTGAGTATTCTCTCACTGATGTACTTTCAAAGAAGATCTCGATGGATGGTCTTTGGCTTGGATTGTTTATCCTTCTCGATTATGTAGCCCACATCATTGATTATTTTCAGTACGATATAAGCTCTTCCCAAGTACCCATATAACTCTGAATTTCGCCATTTCTTATAACAAGAACTGTTGAACTATACCTTGTCACCTGAACGAAATCCAGTTTTAACAGCACTAACATCATAACAACATTTTATTTTATTACAAGCTGATTTAAGTCTTCTTTGGGTAACGTCATATTTTGCACCTTTATTCTTTATATCCATGAAAGCTCTTCAAACCACCAATTCCTCAGGACGTGCTGGAGTTGGTTGGTTGGTTGTTTGGTGCTTTATGGCGCAAAGCAGCGAGGCTATCTGCGCCAAACAACCGGTAAAAGCAATGAAAATAAATTAAAGTAAAATGCAAAAATACAGCGAGTTAAAACCAATACATGTCGATAAAATATTTATATATAATTAAAAAGACCCATAGTGTGTAAAAAATTAAATATACCATCTAATCGGACAGTGTCACCATTACCAATGACACTGTCCAGCGTCAGGGGTAAACTTTTAGAAAACATGTGTCTAAAATGGTACCGCCGCTCACGGTCGTAACGATGGCACGACAGTAAAATGTGGGCTATTGTGACTTGAGTGTCGCAATGGGTACACATCGATGGGTCAATACCAAATAAAAGAAAACGATGGGTTAAAAACTATGACCAATGCGTAGCCTTGCCAGGACTACTTTCTCCTTCCGATCCTTACGGAAGCAAGACGGCCAAAGACCAACAGAAGGTTTGATCTGGAAAAGCTTATTATGGCGTTGCTCACCCCAAGTCGACTGCCAACTGGCATGAAGCCGCGCCTTGAAGACAGAACCGTAGTCCATGTATGGGACAGGCACGGCCGTAATGGCACCAGAGCAGACGGACTTAGCTGCGGTGTCAGCGAGCTCGTTTCCGTGAATACCGACGTGGCCAGAGATCCAGAAAAACTGGATGGAAATAGAAGATAGAGAAAAGTGGGCCAATCGGTGTTGAATATCTACGAGAACAGTGTGAGAACTAATGTCAAGTGATTCCAAGACCAGTAGAGAGTTAAGAGAATCAGTGTAAATAGTAAAATTGCTGTACTGCATAGCTTCTACATGATCCACAGCAAGATAAATAGCATACAACTCGGCAGTGATCACAGAAACTGTAGAGGGGATCCTGCAAGCAACTACCGAGCCACAGCACACCATGGCAGAACCTACAGAGTCACCCAATTTCGAACCATCCATGTAAATAGGAAGAGAAGAATGCCTCGAAAGATGTTCAGCAAAAAGAAGAGGGTACTTCCAATCGGGAGTATCCGCTTTCCCCAGATGACTCAGAGAAAGGTTACAGGATGGGATGGTAATAAGCCATGGTGGAATGGGCTGATCATTGGGGACAGCAGTGTCATCCAATGCCAGACTCAATTCAGCCAGTAGTGCCCGGATACGAAGGCCAAACGGAGGAATAGCAGACCGTCTGTTCTGAAAGAGCATTTCCCACCGAGGAAGAAAAACACAATCCCAAGTGGGATGCCGTGGTAAGGATCGAAGCTTAGTAGCATATTGTAAAAAAGATGCAAACGATGGAGGTGAAGAGAAGGTTCATGGGACTGAGAGTACAAACTCTGGACTGGAGAAGTGCGAAAAGCATCGGTGCAGAGCCGAAGCCCCAGATGGTGGATGGAGTCCAGCATCTTCAGGGCCGAGGTCCTGACGGAACCATAGGCCAAAGACCCATAGTCCAGTTTGGATCGAATTAGAGCATAATAGATCCTGAGCATAGAGCATCGATCCATTCCCCATGAGCTGGAAGAAAAGACACGGAGGAT